TTTTGGAAAAGGGGTGCTTGTTGTATGTGAGAAAATATGGTATCTTTTCAGGGATCAGCTAAACTAGAAATATAAAACTACAAGGAACAAAAAATAGAAGGGGAGCACTTTGAGAAACCTCGAGGAGGAAGTTACAAGGAGTGTACCTGTACATGTTTCTGTTTCGTGAATTATAGTCTCTTTCTAGTAGGCATGATGGAGGAGAATCTTCAGGACTTTTTGAAGGTGAAAAAATAGCTACAGGATAGATTGGAGCAGAGAGAATATATCATGGGGAAATATGCATGAAAAAGGTTTTGGAGAGATGGGTGAATGGGGTAAGAAAATGTACTGAGCCCCAATCCAGCACAATTTTAAACACAATTAGATTCCTTATGTGCTGAGAACGTCATACTTATTTAAACGTTTCACTGGCCTGAGAATGTAGGTACTAGTTTAGACTTGAATACCAGAAGAATGGAAAGAGATGTTTGGCTTTGGACTAACCCAGTGGAGTAGCTTAAAAGAGCCAGAGAAATGTGGTCTGATTAGATAAGGAATACCATATTTTTTCTGGTTTAACTTTTGTTCGATTGGAATGGGACTATCAGCTATGTAGACAGAGAACTTTTACTGCAACCAGTATGCAAGCTACCAAGATTTTCAAGGATTTTAGTTATATTGGGTATGATTTACGTGTAAACAACCTGATGATTTTAATATCATGTAAGAGTAGGATATGTACCTGAAAATGGGTGTTTATTAATTAAAGCAGGATTTTTATTTGTCAAACTGAAATTTCAGTTTGTAGCCATTATGAAATCCAGTCTTTGATTGTGTGTTGAACATATGAAATATTTGCAGACATTTAAATATTTAGGGTAGTAATACTTATTGAAGCCTGACTTTTGAACTGTGATTTATTCTTCTAAGTCACTCAGCACCTCCTAACAATTTGATTTCCTTTCCTGGAAGGAAGTAATTCCTTAGAATTCTTCTTCTTTACTGTATTTACTCTTCTTTACTGTATTTAGTTAAAAATAAGACAACTGTGAATACAAGACAACCCTCTGCCCCCCCCCAATAATTAGATTCTTTATATGGAAAATTTTTGGAAGTTTGCCTTGAGTTTGTCCCCCTCCCACTACAACAAGCAGGAAAAATAAATCAGGTACCTCCTTTACCCGCCCCCCCCCGCCACCTTCTCCCTGCAGTCCCTCGTCTCCCCTTACCTCCTCCTTATTCTCCCTGAGCACATGGGAGTGAGGGACAAATTTGGAAGAACTGACCTTGAATTAAACTGTATAGGCAAATTACTGCAGGTACCCATAGACTTAGTTCATCTAGGATTGATGCATTTTACCTTTTTAGAAACTGCTGCAAATTTTAGCATAGGTATTCCATAAAACACACTTTTAAGTAGCACTTTTGTATTTGTACACAGTGCAAACTATGCATGATATTAATCTGAAACAAAAAGGCTCATGATTTGCCACATAATTCATTGGGCTGGACCCCAGCAGAGTTGACAATATTTCAAGCCATGGTGACCTCACAGCTCAGCAGTGCTCAGTATGTGTGTGTACACCAGATACCACCCCCACAAAAGATTCATATGTTAATTAGCCGCTCTCTCATGACGAGAACCAGGTGTTCTTGTCATGAGTCCTGGGATCCTCCAAAAAATTATATGCAGATGAGGCATGGGGCTGGTCCAGCTCCAGTTCATGGAGGGCTGGGCCACACTAATCATATGTGACCGGCTGTGAGAAGGCGAAAGGGATTATGCGTGAGCTGTTTGGGACCCTGTTTGGTGTGTTTGCTAGGTATTGAAGGTTGGTGAAGAAACAGGAATCACTGGAAGTGGGAATGGACAGCACAGCTCAGCTGTGGTAGTAAAGAGGAAGTGATAATGTATGCAATGTAGTGGCTCACCACAACTTAGGAATCAGTGCTGAGGGGAACTGTGCTCAATTGACACTAACAGTCATACTCAGTGTTGGTTGTATTTAATCAACTTCATAGTTGGTTTCCCATTACTGAGCACATGCTGCTTTTAGGAGCAGTTTAACGTTACATAGTGTTTTTAGTGAGATTTCATTGTATGTGATTATAAGATGAGGGCCTTTTTTGCCCATGCTGATTGGGTTGGGGTGCCGGTTGTCTTGTATTTGGTAGTTTCAGCAAAATTTACTCCAATTTTTTAAACATTTTTCATTGAAGATTTTTACCATTTAGTTTTTAATTACTTTCCTTATGAACTACATAATAAAGCTACATAGTAAAGTTATGAGTGAAAAATCATGGCGTATTAAAAGCAATAACCTATCACAAAATGTTGCTTTGAAAATATTAAAGGCTTTGAAGGTTCATCTAGTTCTGGCTGTGAAAGATTTAACTGTTTTAATATCCATACTTAAAGTAAAATGTATGCTGTTTCCTGATTTGATCTAATTCATTTAAAAATAAAGGTGAAAGTTCATAAATGAATATGAATTTTTAAATCAAGGCATTAGAAAAATTTTATCATCTCAACAGTGGCAACTGTGAATGGGAAGTATTTCTCTAGTTTTGTTTACAGGGTAGTGTTCCTAATCAAGCAATTCCATCCAGTTTTTATCATATAATTTAAAAGTTTCATTTTACTGTTTTGCTGCCAGCGTGTTTTGTAAATTAGCTTAGTAAACTACACAAATGCCATAGGCTGCATTAAAAAACCATACTTAAATATGTTTATAGCCATGTGACATATTATGTTGACCATACTATTCAATCCATTGATTCCTCACTACCAGCCTGATACTAGTTTTTATAGCCTCTTCCCAGCTCCTAACAGCCCATAATTTTACATTAAGAAAACAAACTGCTGGAGGAGTTCCTTTCTATCTAAAAAATGGAATATTCTCCCCAAATGTTATAATAAACTGAAGTATGTATCCAATTCTGGTTTGTTTAAGATTAATTACGTCTTGTGAACCATCGGGGAGCATTAAAAAGTTTTAGGAAGAGGTGGAAGGTGCTGTTTTTCTACAGGGAAAACATCCTATGTTTACCTGTAGATACGTTCTAGGATAGCTGATACAGATATTGCAAAACTACTGAATGTGGGAAAATAAAATGCTAAAACCGATATGTAGCACCTAAAATATACTTCAGATTTTTCTGACTGAAATCTCTGTTGGTTTTTTACACTGGCAGATTGGCTTTATTTTTTGAAGAGGTGGTGATTTTAACAAGCAGAATTGTAAAGCTTACTCTAAAGAAGTAGTAAAATATCTTTTCTATAACATATTTGGTACATAGAACATACCTGATGACAAGGTTTTATTGGCATTTGTTTGGGTATTACTCCCACAAGTATGCTATTGAACTTATCCAAATGAATACCAATACTACTCACCATGTTGCATCATAGATTTGTTTATTCAGTGTTTCTTATACTATATGTATTCAGGCATGTAAAATAAGCGCATAAAGTGCAATCTTTGAAATTAAACAAAAATGAAAATGAAATGCTATCAGGACTCGTACTTCAAGGAGCAAACAGACTGAATTCAAAATGGGGTCAATACTTTTTTCTCAAGGAAAAATATATGATTAGTTTGGAAGTGAGGATGAGAGAATGTTGGACCGCCTTTGAAATTATGCTTTGATTCATAATTTCACAAGTCCTGTCGCATGTTCTTGGGCTAGGTACAGACATTGGAAAAGCTTGAGGTGGAATCCATCTAAGTTATGCAGTTTTCTGTAAACAGCGTAGTTTAGACTGGTAGCAAACAGAACGCACATTCACCCTTTGGTGGGAGGAGGGCGCAAACCTTAGCCTGGGTTCCACCACTTTTAAACCAGTCTGTGCATGCCAAACTAATGTTCTGGGTATAGATTGGTTTCTGATCACTTATATTGGTAAAAGTGTAATGTTTGTACCTGGCCTTAATCTCTTCAAATATCCTAATTCTTATGGTCCTTTTAACTTTTTTCCTTTTTAACTTTTTTCCGTTCAACTTTTGGCTGAACTAAGGCATGTGATAGAATGGTGCCATCTCGGTAAAACTGGTACCTAAAAACTTTTTTGAAATGCTGATACTGTTAAAATTTTGCACTTCTGCAGAAATCACCACTCTTGCCAAAGTATATAGCCATTTTTTAATATGGAAGAGAGACTGACTACTATACTGAAAGTGTTGAAATCATTTAGCTTTACAGTGGTCTATATTTGTACATATTTCTTCAATAGAGAAAGCTGAGAGTGTCTGTTGTGACCAAACACATATAAATGAATGATGTTTCAGGAACTGTAAAAAAGGAAAAAAAAATACTGTAAACACCTTGTATATATGTAACTTACAGGGGAAGTGGGGGTGCGACCCAGAATGTGTATGCATGACTTTCTTTAAATTCTGAATAAAAAGAATAGCTTTTTGCATTGTAGCACACCCTCAGGAAATGCTCAAATGTGGCTCCAGTTCAATCTTTAAATCAGCTTTTCCAGAAGTGTTCTCATTGTAAATGTTAGAAGCAGAACAAAGGACCGAGTGCAGAGTACTTTAACTGACTTCAGATCAGGTCCCAAGAGTCTGAGTGAATCAACCTGACGTATTAAAGATTTGATTCACACCTGCGTACTAGCTGTGCAAGCGATGCTTTGCTTTTCCCAGTAAGGTCATGCATACTAAGACTGCCTTAAAAGGAATCTAGGCATTGTTCAAAGAAGTAAAGAAAGTTTCAGATGCAAGCTTTTAGGGTTGAGGGAAAAAAGATACCTTTATAAATAAAACTTCTCTCAGAATGATTTCAAAAGTCCTGAGAAAACAAGAGTTGAAGTAGCCATTTTTTGTAATCATATTCCATAAATTACAGTGGTAACAATAACTTTTAGATATTTCTGATGTATTATTCAGCCCAGGTAAAAAAGTACTATTAAAGAAGTTTGTGAATTCAGTGCATTTTGTGCCAATGAATCAGAAGGGAAAAAAAACCCACCACCCCCTTCACCATTCTTTTTTTTTTTCGTTTTTTAGATCACCTTTTGCTGCTGTGACAGACTATTCAGTAACAAGAAATAATGTCATACAGCTCTGTCTGGAATTAACCACAATTGTTCAACAGGTATGATACTATTCAATCATCATTCCCCTTTTGAATTTGCTTTTGTCTCATATTAGGTGACCCTTAGCAACTAGAATGTAGCATTCTGTGTTATGCATTTTTCTACATCTAGGTATAATACAAAAGGATTGAGTAAATTGCTTTTTATTACACTCTATTTTCAGTTTCTCTGTTAATTGTGATTGAGGTGCTTGGTACAAGGTGGCATTTTAGGCATGCACTTCTTTATATGTTGTAATAATTAATTTTATTGCACATTTTTGCTCCAGTCTCTGTTAAATACTTAAATAATTTTTGTTCCTTTTTTAATGATTTCTCACTCTTTTTATTCAAGTGACTAGTTCGGAAGATATCTGTATGTTGCCTTATAGTATGCAATGCCATCACTCTCCTTTTTGCACAACTTGCATTATATGCTTCTTCCACAGACACTATATCTCCTGATAACCTTCAGTATCTGTCTAAACATATTTGGAAAAGACCAGACAAACTTCTTAAAGCAAAACAGGAAGGAAAATAGTTCTGTTTTTAGGGTTTATATATAACCTACAGCCTTGCCCAGTTTCTGTCAGATAGCATTTTAGTTTAACCCTGTCCCCATTTCTGGTTCTCCTTTTTTTGGTAAGTGTATGAATGCTTTTTTTTCTCCTTGTACAAAATGATACTGCTACCTGCTCCATTAGCTGGATTGATGCAAACAATTAAAATAGTTCTCTTCATCTGAAAATGTTCTTATATCCCTGGTGCAGGTTGTTCTGTGTTTTTTTTCCTGATGTCCTCCAGTGCTCCTATAATTGCGAGCTGTTATCAATTGTCCTTAAGATTGTTTGATTTAATTATATTAGTTCAGTTTACAAAAATCATAGAGCCATAGAAAATGAGAGTTGGAAGGGACCTTAGGAGGTCATCTAGTCCAACACCCCACTCAAAGCAGGACCATTCTGAACTATATCACTCTAGTCAAGGCTTTATCTAGCTGAGTCTTAAAAACCTCTAAGGATGGAGCTCCCATAACCAATCTGGGTAGTTTGTTCCAGTGCTTTACTGTCCTCCTAGTCAGAGAGTTTTTCCTAATATCCAGTGTAAACTTCCCTTGCTAACCTAAACTTTCTAACTTAAATAATATACCAAAAGATTGTTGTGTTAGGGAACCACTTATGACTTCTATTCTGCAATGACATTTGAGTTAGTCTTACAGACTATCCAGAGAGTCTGCCCCATATTATCTACTGGCATTCTCATTTGTTGAAAATGCTAACCTGCAGAACAACTTACTTGATAGTTATGAGAGCTGCCAGGAGGGTAAATGGCACAAAGATATTAGATAATAAATACTGAAATTTGGGGGAGGATTTCTTAAAATGAAAAGATGGCTTTGTTTGCTCCTGGATATCTTGCTACTGGTGGGTTATTATTTATTTGTATAACCCACCTGCTGCTGCTCTCTTGCCTTATGATTATAGCTGTGCAAGCCCAGCAGAATTTAGTTTTCAGTGGTGAAATGATAAAATAATCCCTCTCATCCAAACTGCAGGGTTCATTTGAAATTGGGGTTGTACCCTCAGGTTTTTTGGAAGTTGGAGTTCAACCAACTCAAACCACCAAAGGAAATTAACTTAAAGCTGCAATCTTTTTCTCTTACAGAAAACTATATTTCTATCCCTCCTTTACACAAACTCTGATCCTACTTACAACTGGTGTCTTCATGAGGACTTGGTGCCATCCTCTGCAGCCTACATTTGGCCTGTTGTGTTGCCTTGAGGAGTCAGGACAGTGCTCAGGATCTCAATATTGCGCTGTTAGACAGGAGGGTGTGATGTACAATTGCACATGCACACACAAAAATCAATTAAGCACACACTCACTAGGTGCATACACCCCTATTAGGCATACACA